GAAATGTGTTACGCAGGCACTGGGCTGTTTTACATGCCGTTCCCTGCTCCTTTGGAGCCGAGACATGGAATCACTCATCGGCTGCGTCACTGTATGCTGCTGCTGCTGAAGCCCCCACGGTGTGAACGTTGGCAAGGGGAAGTGGACAAATCCTGCCATTAATATTTAAACCCAGCACAAATCTCGTTGTTTGCTCTTAAATGTTTATCCAGCTCCCCGGCGTAATTGGGCAGCCCGTTATCTGCTGGGTTGCGTTGCACATGTGGGAATCTGCTATTACAACACTCTCTCTGAATCTTTTATAGGAGAGCAAAATGCATTTACAAGCAAATTTAGATTTTATTTGGAGGCGTGTTGCTAATTTGGCTGCGGCCCGAACCCCAACGTGCGAAGTGCTCAATGTGTTGCGTGGGATGAGGAGGTTTTATTTAGCTGCACGCTTCTTTCCTCGCTGCTTGGGCTTTCCATCACTCACGCTATGTGTGAGCGGCGAGCGCCAAGGGTAGCCCTGGGAACCCCAGAGAAATGCAGCCACGTTTTGCATCCTGCTAACTCTGACACCTTTATGTGTCACATCGGCCTCCAGAAGGGACCAAGGATGAGCTGAGCTTCAGTGGGATGTGTCACCCCAGGCATCCACACCCTCCTGGTCCCTATAGATGCAGCCAGGTGACCCTGTAGAGTCAGCTGAGATGATTTGGCTGGTCTGGATAGCTGCAGCTGGAAATGGTGGGTGGGATGGTGGGGAGGAGGATATTAAGAGTGTGATCATCTGGGATACCTCAGCGATGCGGCTGGATAAGCATTCGTGGTAGACAGATTAGTCATTGATTCCTGATAGGGGATAATCACTGGCTTGTCTGCTCTTTATCTGCAAGATAAGGATGGGGTTGGAGGAGGGAAGGAAAAAGCACAGAAAAGCTGAGATGACCAGGATGGACTGTCCCTGACATTGTGGTCCCTCATGGCTTATGGAAGGGCTTGGCCGCCAGTGCCAGGGGAGCAGGATCAGGGCACGTGTGGGGCTGTAGGTGAAAGCCCTTGTGCTCATCCAGGGGCTGTGATTTCCTTTCTGCTGCTTCAGCTCCCATCCCAATTATATGGTTGTGTCACCTATAAATTATTCTGCAGAGGGAGGAGCAGCATCCTGTCCCTTCAGCACTGTGCAGGCTGCACCTAGAGCTTGCTGGAACCGCTCTTGGGCAGCAACTATTAGCAGAAATTAAAGGAATTTTGTAAAGGACATTAAATACAAATAGCTGTATCTTACTGGGTCAGGAGCATTCTCAGCCTTTGCCGGAGGAGCAAAACCCCTCGGGTTGATGTCCTCTCACAAGCCGAGAAGAGACAGTTGCCCTGCTGAGCAGGCATCCTGGAGCTTGATTTCCATGAATTGCATTTGAGCTCCTGGTTGCAGGGGGCTGGGGTGTGCGCAGCATCCAGAGCCTTCTCCAGGTGAAAGCAATGTCTGCTCCCCAACCAGATCCCAGTCGAGTGGGGAAGACATCATTAAGATTTAATTGGGAATGTGTCAGCTACAGCATCCCTTGGCTATCTGTGTAGCACCTTGCTCTTCCTGTGCTGACGCCCTTCCTCTCTCCAGAAGGAGATGAGAGAAGCAAACCGAAGTGGAGCGGAGCATCCTCCAGCCACGCCAGTCCCTCCTTGGCACTGGTTTTCCCTGAGGAGTTTCTTTTGAGCAGGACTCAAAAGCAGGGAGCTAAAAAGCTGAGCTTCTGTTCCCTTTTGCACTCCTGGCTGCTCGCTGGATCTGTGCTGTTACCTGCCCCGTGAGCCCAGGAGGCTGGGGCATTGCTGGGAAGTAGGGCAGAGCTCGGGAGGGGGGAAATGAGAATTGAAAGGGGCAAGGCAAAGGGAGGTGGATCCAAGCTGTTGTTTAAAGCACTGGTGGATGGGGTTTTTTTCTGCTTTTTTTTGTTCTCTGGAAGATGAAATACAGCCTGTGAACACAAGTGTGTGTCTGCCAAAGGCCCTGCTCTGGTCACAGTTTGCGTTTTGAAGAATTATTGATCCTTTGCTCTTTCCAGCAGAGGGTCTCTCCCAGGCAGGTACACTGATGCAGAGGGATATGTCCTCTCTCCTAAAGCAAATGAGGGGCTGAATGAGGTGTTTAACCTGAAGCTCTGGGGCTCCAGTGCAGTAGTACCTTTGTTAGACTATTCCTAATGTGGGGAAGGGCTTGCAGGAACTGGAGCTTTACTGTTGCTTAAACAAACCAGTGATGTGAACCAGGAGAAACACCCTGGGCAATCCCTGGACCCGGGGAGCACCCTGAGCACTGCAGCTGCATTGCCTGCACCCCAGGGGCTTTGACCTGCTGTAGCTCAGCCTCATTTCATGTGGGGTGCAGAGGGAGAGGGGCTGGCATTAGCCCTGTGGTCAGGATCTTTCCTGATGGCTGAGTTGTGGAAGGAGAGCATGATGCTGCCAGCTGGGGCTCACTGCCTGGAACCTGGTTGGTTTTCCTTCGCCTCAGCTGATAAAATAGAGGTGCGTCCATATCTAATAGAGGTAGATCCACTTCTTCCTGGTGGGACTGCTGCTATAAACATGGTTGTCTCTTTTCTCCTCCCTCCCCATCTCCCCAGGTGCTCCTGACCCCACTGCTGGGGCCAGCATTGACGACGAGAACTGCTGGCACTTGGATGAGGAACAAGTCCGAGAGCAGGTGAAGCTGTTCCTATCTCAGGGAGGATACTACGGCTCGGGGAAGCAGCTCAACTCCATGTTTGCCAAGGTGAGGAGGAGCCGGCTGCTCTTTCCCCTCTCCGCTCAGCATGTCACGTAGCCGGCAGCTCGCCGGCTGGCCTGGCAGGGAGCCCATCACAGCTGGGAATCTCTGCTCCAGTGCCTTCTCGCCCGGTCGTGGAGCAGGCAGTTGTAATCCAGGCTCTGGGTCGGGCCTGGGTTGTCTCACCCTCTCTCCTGGCAGGTCCCATCCTCCCTTGCCATAGGCTTGCCGTGATCCCTGTGTGAGGAAGGGCTTTTCCCCATCTCCCATCAGTATGGTGGAGGGAAGGCCAACCCTGCAGAGCCTACTGAGACCATGCAGAGGTGGCCTGCGGGTTCTTTCCTTTCTTTGCAGAAGGGCCTTGTTTTCATTTTCTTGATCGGTTGGTCCTCTTCACAGCCTCGGCTGTGGCTGCTACCCAGATGAACTCCAACGAGCCACGTCACAGCCATTGCCTAAGTGTTAAAATGTATGACTATACATTGTACATATGTATTTATTGACAGTCTGGACCCCATTCTGAAGAAACTGTGGGTCACCAGCCAGGTGACCATGTTGTAAATCCCTCCGAGGGATCATGGTTTGTCTCACAAAAGCCTTTCTCTCTGTCCTTTCCAGGTCCGGGAGATGCTGCGCATGAGGGACTCCAATGGCGCCAGGATGCTGACGCTGATAACGGAGCAGTTCATGGCTGATCCTCGGCTCTCTCTCTGGAGGCAGCAGGGAACAGGCATAACGGAGAAGTGCCGGCAGCTCTGGGATGAGCTGGGTAAGAGTCACCACCTTGCAGAGAGCAGCAGCAAGGCTACCTGGGCTGCTGGGCCAGCAGACATCATCCCAGAGGCCTTGGGGCTCTTTCCGGGGGGGCACAGACCCTGAGAGATGGCAGGAGCTTACTCTATCTCCTACTTGTGGGACAGCTGGATCAGGCCCAAATGACACAGTTCAACACCTTAAACCAGCCTCTCTCCTGCGAAGGGGTCAAGGATCATCATCTGAGCGTAAAATGTGGCTGGTCCCATACTTGTAGCAGCCTCATGTTTGTTGTGCTGCCCCGAAGCCTTTCTGAGGGAGGATGCAGGGGCTGGTGAGCCACAAGGTCTGGATGTAGCCTGGACATGTAAGTGCTATTCCTGGAGGAACCATGATCTGGAGGGGGAAAGGCAGGTTCTCAAGTCTCATCCAGGCTAACAGATTTCTGCCTGCTCTGGTCCACGTTTCCAGGGTGAGGGGGGCAGGATGGCCAGTGCAGAGCCTGGCTTGAAGGGAAATGCAGTTCTGAGTAATTCTAGCTAAGCACCTTAGACACCGGCTCAGCTGGCTGACACCATAATATCATTAGAATAAAACATTTAGATGACGTGGGCTCAGGGAGATTGATTGTGTGGTGGAGTTAACCCAGTAGTTCTTGACTGAATAGTCCGATTTGTGCCATAGTTTTACAAGTGAGTTTAGTGCCTTTAGTTCTGTGCTGCCTGCTGCTGGGAGGTGCTGTGTAAGGGCAAGGGCTTATGGAGTGGGACCAAAGGGATGTTTTAGAGCTGGAAGAATTATGGAGGTGGTCCAGGGTCTGGAGCTCCTGAAACTGCAGCTGGGATCCCAGACCCTCCTACCAAGTGCCCAACAAACGCAGACATAGCTGTGTGACCCAAGAGCCCAGCCAAACTGCTCAGACAAGGGCCAGGTGGGGATGGGATGTTTTGCTTCTGTGTGAAGTTCTCTGGATGGAAATAATCATACCAGCTCTGGAGAGCTCATCTGTGCTTGCTTGCCAAGAAGATATTTCCAGGATTTTGGGATGCTGCAGCTAGATGGTTGGATATGCAAGAATCCTGGAGACATGGCCAAATCCACCAAGCCAGGCTTTCCACATGGAAGAAAGCAAACTCATCGATGAAATGTGGATGGATGGGTGTCAGGGCAAGCCTCGACGCAGGAAACAATTTGCCCAGAATTACAGATTATTTGGGCAGGTTTCAAACCCACTAGCCAAGCCGAGAGCCCTCCCTTCCTGCACACAGGAGGCAGGAGGGGTTGGGTTTCAGTCTTAACCATGCAAGGACCACATTGATATGCGTAGTTTTGGTTGGCAGAGTGAGAGGAGGTGACAGCACATCCCTGTCAGCAGATGGCAAGGTGGCCAGGGAACGTCAGGGCCCTACCAAGGCTGAATCAGTGTGACAGCAGGTGAAATGTGGTGCCAGGCAACGCACGTCAGAGAGAGTGGCTAAAAAAAAGTCAACGCACGTCAGAGGGAGTGGCTTGCCTGGCACGGGAAAGTCATGCAGGAGGGTCTGGGCATCTCCACACTGAAGAGAAGCCCCTGCAGAGGACACGGTGATGATCCAAGAAGCGGCTCCAGGGCGGGATGGGCATGGACTATACTCAAAAGTAGGGATTATTCCCCCCATTCTACAGAAGCCTTTTGGATTTAGACTTGGGCAGCATTTACTGTCGGAGCAGAGCATCTCTCTGAATCATAGAACAGTTTGAGCTGGAAGGGACCTTAAAGCTCATCTAGCTCCAAACCCCCTGCCGCAGGAACAGCTTCAACTAGATCGGGTTGCACAGAACCACATCCAGCCTGGCCTTGAATGACTCCAGGGATGGCGCATCCACCACCTCTCTGGGCAACCTGTGCCAGTGTTTTACCACCCTCATTGTAAAGTATTTCTTCCTTGTCCAGCCTGAATCTCCTCTTTTAGTTTAAAGCCATCACCCCTCGTCCTGTCACAACAGGCCCTCCTAAAAAGTCTCTCCCCACTTTTCTTATAGGCCCTTTTTAAGAACTGAAAAGCTGCAGTAAGGTCTCCTGGAGTCTTCCCTTCTCCAGGCTGAACAACCCCAACCCTTACTAAGCCTTTCCTCATAGGAGAGGTGCTCCTTCCCTCCGATCATTTTTGTGGCCTTCTCTGGACCCTCTCCGAGAGGTCCATGTCTTTCCTGTACTGAGGACTCCAGAGCTGGATGCAGGACTCCAGGTGGGTTTTCACCAGAGCAGAATAGAGGGCCAGAATCACCTCCCTTGACCTGCTGGAGGCATAGAGGGACCAGACCTGCAGCGAGTTGGGGTGTTCACCGGTAATGACCATTAGCAATGCAGAGAGATGTCCCAAGCCATCACTGGATGGGTAACAGTAGCTGGGGCACGTGGGGCAGAGAAGACATATTGTCCAACTGCCTGTGGGCTGCAGATGCCAAAGCTGCCCAGTGTTACTGCTGCTGCCAAGGGGAGGGACTAGGGGCCTGTTGCTAGCTGCTGCGGGAAGCCCCGGCACACACCGTGTTCCCCTGCCACGTGGAAGAGAAAAACGGGCCTCACAGAAATTATTTTGGGCACATGTTTAATAATTAATCATTGATTTTAGCAAAGGCTGCATCACAGACTTGCGTGGGATTGGAAGAAGATCAGCCCTAAAGAAGATTGTGGATTTATGCTGGGGAAAATGTAAAGGATTTTGCAGGATTTCAGAGTTTTAAAAGGGTGGGGGGGGAAAAATAAATAAATGAAAATGGCATCGTTTGCTTGTGCGTGTGCTGCCAACTGAACATCTACTGCCCCGTCTGCTGGGGAGCCAAAGGAAAGACCTGCTGGATGGAGAGCTCTGCGGCGTGGGAGTATTTGCCCTGGCGCATTAGTACTTACGATTAAAGCCTAATTACAAAAAATAGACGAAAAACCAGCTGAAGTGCAGCCTGACCTTAATCTGCCCGGAGACGGGTTTATTTATCTCGGCCACTTGTTTACAGTGGGGAATTTCAGCAGATTAAGCCGGGGAGCGACCCTGTGGGAAACGGGAGAGTTTCTTTGATGGCTTGGAAACTCGGGCGCGGGATCGGAGCGCCTCTCCTCTCCAGGGCTGGCATCCGGGACCGCTGGGCTGGGAAGGCTCCGCCTCACCCCCCCGGTCCCTGCACCCAGCCCCGTCATCAAAAAGCATTTTTGTTTAGAGGCTTAGCTTAATCGTGATCTGCCGCTTTGTTCCCCGCTTAACCTCCTGCCATCGGAAAGTTCAGATGAAGGTTTCTGCAGCATGTGAACAGAGTCTGACCTAGCTTGGTGTTTTGGCTCAGGACAGGAGTCACTTGTGCTGTCAGCTGATGTCACTTGACCGTAGGGCTCAGAAAACCCCTCTTTTCCATCTCTCAGATAACGATTGTGGCCGAGACAGATGCGAGTCTCTCCTCCCTCCTTGTCCCCAGCTTCTCGTCTGCAGGGGAGCCCAGGGACACAGCGTTTTGACAGGCAAAGGATGCCTCAGAGGGCTCCCAAAAATAGGCTGCGAAGTCATGAGGCTTCCGAGGATCATACCTTAGCCGAGCTGTGTGAGCCAAAAATCCAGCGGGCGCATCCAGTTCCTGGGGGTGGCGGAGTTTTCTGCCTAGGGGTGGCAGTGGGCAGGCACCCACACCTCAGCTGAGGGACAGTAACCAGAGCCTTAAGGAAGATTCATTTTCTGGTGCTGAGACCTATTTTTTTCAAAGAGGCCATGTCCATGCAGCCCCCATGGAGCCTGCAGGAACCTGGGAGTGTGACATAGACCTGCACTGGGAATGATGGGCCCTGAAAGCTCCTAAGGAGGTAGCTCTCCTCTTGTACATGCTGATATTGCAGCTCTGAAGTCTTATTCCCCCCTGTCCATCAGAAAGCAGTGGGGTTTTCTGGGAGCAGCAGAGCTGAGATGTGGATGGAGCTGGACCGTGCAAGAGCTGCTTTGTGTATTTGCTGATCTTCAGGGCCTATGTTTGCTTTTCCTGTTCCTGGGTGCAATGCTGCTGCCACTGTCTGCGTTGTGACACCATGACGTCTCTCCAGCCAAGCCAAGCCATTTTGAGGAACTGGAGCACAGCCTCTAAGCCTTATTAATTTGAACCAAACGTGTCCACAAGTTGCAACTATCAGAGGACCCAGGAGATGCACCCTAAAAGCACCACAAAAGCTCAGCTATAACCCTGAGGAGCAGGGAGACACCAGAGTGGAGCTGGATGAGGACATGGCTGCTCAGTCTGGTTCTGCCTCACATCTGCCTGTGTTGGAGCTGCAGCCTCACTCAGCACTGCTTGGCTCGACTTGTGGCTGTGCAGCTGGGAGCTGCCTCACAAAACACAGTGAGCAAGGGAGGTGGTTTGGACATGTGGAGGAATCTTGTCGCCAGCAGCAGAGCCGTATCAGGTCATGTTGTCCTGCTGCTGGCTGTCATTTTGGGATAGGAACACTGGATCTGGGAGTGATGGAGAGATGGGGGTGAGCAGCTGACTGCGTGGGGATGAGGAAGATGCTCCAGGTCTCCACTGGGCCTATGGAGGAGAAGCAGGAGAGGGTGTTTCTGTGACAGGCTAGTCTGTCCTGCATGTGTGGCAGGCTCCAATGTGGGCAGAGAGAGGAGCAGCACAGGCTGCTCAGCCCGGGGGGATCCCTGGGGACATCGCACAGCTATCCCACCCCTCAGGGCAGGCACAACAGAGGGGACATGCTGTATCCTGGCAGCCTTGCAGGGAGGTTTGGGCAGAAATGCAATTAGCTAAAGGACAATTCATGATTTTGCACTTACTTAGGTTGTTGCAGCCCTTTTCAGAGCAGTGGGTTTCCCAGGAGAGTCAGCAAGGCTCAGTTCGCAGCACCAGCGTCAGCCCTGTCTTGTGAAAGGATGAGTTGGATCTTAATGACGACAGATGTCCTTGGGTCTGGTTTTGCCTGTCACACAGCAGACAGCATCATCCGCCCTGTGAGGTCTCATGACAAGGGTGTCAGCATGGGTGTCCTGCTGATGGGAACCTCTGCTTGTGAGATTGGAGGGCTCACACCTAGGAGGGCTCTTGCCTGTACAACCTCAAGCTAAGTTCCAGGTTCCTCTGCTGGTTCCTCTGCAGGCTCTGGGGGCTACTGGGGATTAAAAAAAGAAAAAGAGGAGGAAAAAAAAGGGGAAGAAAATACACCAAATCTCCTTTTTAAATAGTTGAATGCAAATGGCCTGAAGAACAATGGCAGATGAAATAGCATTCGGAGCAGGCTTTAAAGCACTTGGAACGTGGGTAGGATCAAAATCAGGTTAGTCTTTGGAGATACAGACTCTGCAGCTTGCCAGAGTGTTTTTAAGCATGCTTTGATGTGTAGTTCAAACACTAGATTTGTCCTGGCAGACAGAAGCACTCACAAATTCATACACAGCCGCTCTCTCCTTCCCTCCTCCCCACTGTCCCCCATCTCAGGAGATTATAATTTAGCTTCATTACAGAGGAGTTTTACTTTTATTTAAAAGCTGTCTAAATCCTCCTCCTGGGTCCACGCATTATGCTGGAACGAGTTTACGAACCCCGATGAAAACTTGCGGGCTTCCGCAGCAGCAGAAGAGCTTTGCCCCATGGGTTCGGTGGTGGCATCTCCTTGATTCCTTGGCTTTGTTTAGGGGCGCTGTGGGTGTGCGTGGTGTTAAACCCGCACTGCAAGCTGGAAGAGAAGTCCTGCTGGCTCCGGCAGCTGCGCAAGTGGGGTGAGATGGATGTGTGTCCCCTGGAAGATGGCAATTACGGTAACGAGCTTCCCAACATCACCAACGCGCTTACGCAGAGCTCTGGTCACAGCCAAGGTGAGTCCAGGCGGGGAGTGGAAATGCAGGCAGGGGTTGGGTCAAGGTCAAAACTCACTCCAAAGTCAAGAGACCTCAATTCACCTGTGGTGATGTCTCTCGGAGTCATGGAAATACAAAACGTTTTTTGGAAATGTTTGGGTCTTGGCTACGTCTTGGTGAAGTTGCCTCTATTTTGAGCATCAAATTAGAAGCCATTTTAAAGCAATTTGATTTTGGGGGAGTTTAGACCCCTATGATATGGTTTGGGTACAGAGCTGTACAGAAAAACAGTGCTGCTTGAACTGAGGGGCAGCTGAGCTTGGAAGCCCTGGCTGTAATGTGGGAGTGAAGAGTTGGAGATGATGCAGAGCCCCTTTCCCAGCCCTTGAGCCTTGCTTATGGGCTTTGATTCAGGTGGTAGATAAGTTATTAGCCAGGAACGTTAAACGCAGTTAAAGTGCAGAGCCCAAATGGAGCAATGTATTTATGGGGTTGTTTCTTCATGCCAGAATATTTCCTCAACCCCTGACAAAGCATTTGATCCCTTTAAATTTAAGCACTAGTCTGCTTTACACAAAAGGAAGAGGGAAATTAACTGAAAATTACTGCTCTTACTGTACCTCCATCTGCTGCATTGGAGTTACTCTCTGGTGTGTTATGTGTGGTGAAAGTGGTAAGAGGAGAGGATGGCAGCCGTGCCATGAAGGAAACTTCACTCTCCTGGGTGGGATTAGCCCCACAGCAGGGGTTCAGGAGGGTGGCCATCCTGCCAACTCACCCCAGCCACAGCCAGGACTGCATGCCTCTGTGTGCCTCCCTGTGCGCATCCTTTGGGAACAGCTTAATTTAAACCTGGCCTTGCTCCATGTCCAGTGCCAGCCCCGGGACTCCCCCCTGGTGTTCCCAGCTCCACCAAGGATTCACTGTGGCATTCGGGGCAGGTTGCTGGGGCTGAGCAGGTCACTTTATTTAGACGAGCAGGGAGTTTCCAAAGCACGTGCTGGGGACATCCCTGTGTCCCCATGCTCCTTCATCTCCAGGCAGGAGACTGAGAGCAGCACGGATCCTGGAGGTGTCCCGGGGTTAATGTTTGTGCGTATGCAACTACTGCTGCAGATTGCTGCCAGCCTCTTTTATTGCTGAAGGAGAACAGCTGATTCCTGAAATCCTTCCTGGTGAAGTGACCAGGCTTGGTTCTCTACATACCAGCACCTTGTTAATTTCTCTCCACCTTGGGGTGCCTGCAGCATTCAGCCTAATTGCTTGTTGCCATCGTTTCCGGAGCGTGTTTATCCAGGCTCCCTGGATCAGCTTTGAGCAGTGCCTTTTGGTTTTCGCTCTTTAATGCTTTTAACTTGGCCTGTCTTGTGGGTTTCAGGACCTAACATTCATCATTGCACACCCTTTAGGGCTTCCAGTTTTGCAGCCTACCGGCTGTGTTTGGCCTTCATGATCCGATGTGGCTGGAGCAATAGCAGGATTGCTCCAGACAGGCCTTTTCCTCCTGACAGACCACTTGTCTGATCTGTCTGGACAGTGTGAAATGCTTGTCCAGCATTTGATAGCTTCAAAAACATCAGTGAAGTTACAGAGCAGCTCTGCAGAGGAACAGACATTCACTGCAGAGCAGCAATGGGCTTTCAGATGATGCCATCTCCTCCCTTCCAGCCCTCTCCCACAGCCTGCAGAGGTTGCTAGAAGGTGATGGTTCCCCCTATTGCCAGGAGGCAAATGAGATACACTCATGCAGTTCCCTTCATGGCTTCATAGAAGCATAGAACAGTTTGGATTGGAAGGGGCCTTAAAGCTCATACAGTTCTAACCCCCTGCCATGGGCAGGGACACCTTCCACTAGAACAGGTTGCTCCAAGCCCCGTCCAACCTGGTCTAGGTAGCTGTGGATCAGTGAAGCTGGGACTCTGCTGGAGCAGAAGAGTGATGCAAGGCTGTAATGCTGAGGAAGCCCATTCCTGATCCCTGGTGCTGAGTGTCACAGAGGTGGGAAGGCACTGCCACATTTCAAGGCATCAGCCTTGTATGTGACAGAGGATTATCATTGGAAAGCAAACAGATGGGCAGTCCTGCTTCTTTTCTCACCTCTCTGGTCAAGGCAACTATTCTAGCAAGTCACTTAGCAGTGCTGTCTAAGGAGATGGCAGTCTCCGTCAGATGGGATGGGCAACAGAGGTACCTAAAGGCAATCTGTCACAGTGCAGGAGCCAAAGCCCCTGTGCTCAGCTCAGAAGTGGCCGGGGTGGGAGCCGGTGGGGCTTTGCTGTCATTGTAAAGACATTTCTGTGCCCAGGGAGGTCATGTCTGGGGGCAGGAACAGGCTGTCCCAGCCCCACCAAGGCACTGATTGCTTTTCTTTCTGCAGACTCGTTGGCCAGGCCCAGACGAACCGTGTTCACGCGAGCGATCGAGGGCTGTGACCTGCACTGGCAGGACAGCCACTTACAGCGCATCATCAGCAGTGACTTCTACGTGTCTCCCTCCTACCAGCGGGAGGGCGAGAGCCTCCTCTTCAACTCCCAGGGGCAGCCGCTGTGGCTGGGGGGGGGTGGCTGGGTGAGCATCCAAACCTTGGGTAAATGGTGGGTAGATGCTACTGGTGAAGAGCCACCCAACGCATCAAAAAAGCTTTGCTACCCTGGCTCCTTACAACCTTCTGTGTCCTAGACCGAAATTACCTCTCTGGCCTTTAGCCTGAGGATAGGGTGAGCAGAAGAACTTGATGCTTTCCCACTCCCCAGCCAGAGTCCTTACAGCAAGTCCCACACCTTTACAGTCTGGATTCCCCTTGGGCAGCTTGGACCAGGTTCATCTTGTCCTCTTTCATTCTCCCAGTGTTAGCTGTCCCCATGCAAGCTCTCACTGTTTCCAGTGCAGGAGGAGTGGACGATTAAGTCCTTGAAAGTTGTCTGGAGGGCACAGCAGTATCCTCTGGATTTTTTCTTCCCTGCTGTCACTCTCTCTTTAGTCTTCTCTCAAAGGTAGTTAGCAGAGAGTACAATTAAGCCTTGTATGAGCTTAAGGCACACTGGACTAGTCAAGCCCAGTACCCTCCCATGTTGTAGTCCACCTCAAGCCACACAATTTTTCTCCTGCAAAGTGATCACCCTGGGCAGATCTGCAGACCCTTGACAGCTGCATGTCTGGGATGAGAGTAAGCGAGATGTGGTTGCCTGATGTAGCTGTCAGCCCTCAAACTGATCCCAAAATGGGAGTTGCAGGCCCCCCCCACTTCCAAGAGGGTGGATGCCTCATCCCTACAGCCCAAGAGGTGAACGTATGGACATGGGACTAGTCAAAACCCACCACTGCTCTGTCATCTGCTCCAGCAGCCAGGGTCTGCAATCACCCGGCCGAATGGGGAGAGAGTATTTAAAGTCATCCAGAGATTTTCTCCTGTCCTCTACAATATTCTAATTGCTCTATTATCACTGTCCAGAAGGAGTGAAATTGCTCCAGCCCAACCTCAAGGTCCTAATAATGGGTGAAAGATGAGCAAGATTTTTGGAAGTCAGGGGAACTTCAGGTTAGATATAAGGAAGAAGTTCTTCACAGTGAGGGTGGTGAGGCACTGGAATAGGTTGCCCAAGGAAGTTGTGAATGCTCCAACCCTGGAGGTGTTCAAGGCCAGGCTGGACAGAGCCTTGGGTGACACAGTTTAGTGTGTGGTGTCCCTGCTCATGGCAGGAGGGTTGGAACTAGATGATTTTAACATCCTTTCCAACCCTAACTATTCTATGATTCTGTGTGGTTTCTGCAGCAGCTGGCACTAAGTTGCTATTAAGGCTAGGAGATAAGTTAAAAAGGGTGCATATGAAGGCTGCTGGTGCACCTCTGCTAGCTTAGCTGGAGCAGAAGAGGACACTTGTATTCTGGGAAGAGTTTTGTGTAGCTGCAGGCAGCAGGTCTCCTCCCTGTACAGCCATAGGCAGCAGCAGTAGGTTAGTGCTTCCATGGACTCCATTTAGCAGGGATGTGGTGGCCCCAGCTGCCCTGTCACTAGCATAATCTGGGTTCTGGCGAGCCCTTTGGCCCAGCTGGTTGGTGCATGATATTTTTCTGATGTATTTGCTGCGATCTTGGGATTTTGCGCTCTGGCTTTCTTGGCACCCCTTCAGGGACTCGGTGCTGGGAGAGGAGTGTGATTTGTCAGCAACTTCAGTGATGAATTCAGCGAGAAGCTGAATATTTCATCCATTTATCAAATGAATAGAGGGAGCAACAAGAAGCTCTTCTACAGATGTGTCTGTTCTGAAACCTCTTCCTCGTGTATTTCTTGCGGGTGACCTTTGAGATGTGGAAACCCCATTTGTGGGGGTGGTTGTCTGCGTTTCCAGAGCTTTCTGAGTTCTTCCAGGAATAGAAATTATCCCTCTACCATAATTTTAGATCTTCATGTTTGCCTTCCCCCGCTCCCTGCCCCCCACCCTTGGTAGGACATTTTGCAAGAAAATGGGATTTTCGCTGCTTGTTATGCAGCATGTCATGTCATCTGCTCCTGCTAATTTCTCACTCAGTCATAATCCTCTCCACAGTTGCTTGAGATTTCAGGTGAGCAGTGAGCAGCAGGAGCAGATGAATTCCTAAGCAATTTGAATCTTGGGGGTGGGGGGTTCATGCAACTGTTCCTAATAATAAAACACCAGGTAGGAGAGCTGCAGAAGAGACGGGGTGTCTGCAGACCTTGCTCCATGGAGGTATTAAGGAAGCAGTTCAAAACATCATCCCAAATCTGCCAGTGCCACCAGTGCAGGGCCGGATGAACAGCCTCACCCCAGGTGTCATCACCTGTGCCATGAGAGCTAGGAGAGGTGTTGGATGAGACTCCAAGAAGTGTTTGGGTGCACAGCAATGAGAGAAATCACCATAAGCCAGGTGGATTTTAGGAGAAACGAATGACGGGGTTGTCACAACCTGGGTTCGGAGCTGTTGTATTGCAGCAATGGTGTGTTGGAAATGCTTCCATTAGATAAGGTTTGAGGAGGTGGAGATCTAGGTACTGACATAGCTGCTGTGGGCTGAACATGGTAGGAGTCCTGTTAGTATTCCTGGTAGGCATCCCTGCCAGGAGGAGGGAGAAAGGCATGAATTCAAGATAAGGAGCAGGAGTTTAGCAGGGACTTGGAGAAGATCAGAAGAAGGAAATGGCCTGAAGTGTGATGGTGTTGGGTTTTCTCCTCTGGTCAGTACCATCCCATGAATTTCTGTGCTCCTTTGGCTCAGCCATGCCCCTGTGTTTGTCCTTGCCTTGCAGAACATGTCCCGACTGCCTGCGCTCGGGTGGATGCCCTGCGCTCCCATGGCTATCCCAGAGAAGCTCTCCGACTAACTGTTGCCATAATCAACACCCTGCGACTGCAGCAGCAAAGGCAGCTGGAGATATATAAGCACCAGAAGAAAGGTATGAGTAGAGCTATGGGAGAAGTGTCTCATGAGGTCTGGCTAGAGTGTCCCAGCTGGTTGAAAAAGTCTTCTCCACCTCAGGGAGCAGTGCTGCCCCATCCAGAGCAGAGGTTGATGTTGGGCAGTGCTGTATGGCATTACCTCACACCCTAGAAAGACAAACTGATGCATCTGATTTCTTGAGCCAAACTGTGTTGGTACCCAACACAGGGGTCCGTGTGCTGTCTTCGGGCTGCTGGAGCAGGGATGCTCTTGTTCCCACTGTTGCTGTGACTTGTTGACTGTAAGGATTGCACAGGCAAGTGATGCCTGCATTAAAGAGGAGCTGCTTGTCTGCAGAGCTGCATTAACAGGCTGTGTGTGCTACCTCCACTTTGCATTTGCTGAATGAATTGTATCAGCAGGCAAGCCCAGTGTTTCTCCTTTTGCAATTGCAGTTGGCTGGGAGCTGGGATTGGGTCAGTTACTGCAGTGCTGCTGGTGATCAGTGACTCCTGGACCTTGCCAGCTTGAGATCATCAAAAGATGGAGCTTTTGAGACTTACTGGGAGTCTTTGTCATCTCCAGAGAGATCTCTGCTTGTGTTTCCAAAACATTCAGGCTACCACTACAAATGAGTCTATAAGTCTGACTTTATAAATGCCATCTTGGGACTCTGCAGTCCCTTGTGTCCTCCCAGAACAGAGAACGAGCCATTGCCTCTTACATGGCCTTAGGGGGACCTTTTGTTGTTGGGTGCCTGCTCCTTCTCATGTCTGTGGCAACATGCATTGTGGCTGCCATGAACTACCATGCCAGAGTTGGCCCTGGAGGTCCCTGTGTCCTAGGCCATGGGGTAAGAAAAGGCCTCTCTGGTCTCAGAGACCCCTGTGGGTGCAGAACCTGTCTTTAAATTCCTCACTCTTACAGTCTTCCTGTTCCATTTTTTACAGAGCTGCTGCAGCGAGGAGCCACAACCATCACTAACTTGGAGGGCTGGGTAGGCCACCCTCTGAACCCCATCGGCTGCCTCTTTCTCACCCTGACTGAAGCTTGTAGGTTAGAAGAGGAAAATTGCCTTGAAATTTCAGGTACCAAGCGCTTCTCCTGGCTCCTTCCTGGTGGCTGCTGCTGAACTGAACCTGGTGGGCAGACCCTGGGGCAGGACTGGGCTCAGGACTTCCGGGCTCTGAACCTCCCTTCTCTGTGCCTTTGCAGAAGCAGCCAGGACAAGAGCTGCAGTGCAGAGAGCAGGAGTTAGTGGCCCTCGGTTTTCCCAGCCCCAGGGTTTGCAGCCAAAGCAGAGCAGGAGAGCATCTTGGAGCTGGCCCAAGGCGTGCTGGCCCATGGGAAGGCTCTGGTGTCAGACCCTGTTGCACATCTCAGGTCTCCTGCATCTCATAGTGAGAGCAGGAAGGAGGGTGAAGCCCACATCTGCATCATCTCTGGGTGACTGAGGGCAGTCAGCAGAGAAGTGTGGGTCTTTGCTTCTGAAGTTGAGAGGTTTTTCTCTCTGCTGTGGTTCTCTCTTCTGACTGCTGCATCTCTTTCCCCTCTTCCAGATGCTGGAGACTCCAAACCCCCAGTATATCAACACGTGCCCGTTGCGACCAGCAGCCAAGACAGTGGCGAGTCCTACCTGTCCCTGGCCTTAGAGGTGGCCCTGATGGGGATGGGTCAGCAGAGAGTGATGCCTGAAGGTCTCTATGCCCAGGACAAGGTGTGCCGCAATGAGGAGCAGATCATTGCCCGGCTGCAGGACCTGGAGCTGGACCCAGTGCTGGTGCAGACCCTGCGGAAGCAGTGCATCTTGCTGCTGGAAGGTGGGGGCTTGGTCCATCTAGATGGCTTCTCTGTCTTAACTGAGTATTGGTAACACCTCCAGGGTGCCCTTTCCAAGGTTTACGCCTGACTGACCCCATCCTGGCTTCTGTAGGTGAGGCGCTGAGTCTGTAGGGTGGTTGTTCTGCCCCATCATCTGGCAAAGCAAGGGTTTGCTGACGTCCCTGGAGCAAGACCACCCCAGAGGCACTATGGAGAAGGATGCTAAGCATGGGTCATCGATTTCTGAGGGATTTTGGCCTGAAAGGGTTTTTAGAAAAGGAAAGGCCAGCTCTTTGCCCTGGATCCAGCTTGAGTAATGCACCAAAGGGCAGATCCTCAAAGCTTTGGAATGGTGCAAACCCCAGACACAGATCCTGCTGTGCTAGTTATGGCTGATGGGCTCTGCTTCTGCCTAGGTGGTCCCTTCAGCGGCTTGGGAGAAGTCATCCACCGTGAGAGTGTCCCCATGCACACCTTTGCCAAATACCTGTTCTCTGCCCTGCTGCCCCACGATGCAGACCTGGCGTACAAGCTGGCTTTGCGGGCCATGAGGTTGGTGCATGTTTTATTCTCTGTGCTCCCCTTTTTGCCTCTCTCCTATGCTCTGATGGGAATCCAGGATGCTTTGCAACTGTAGAGCAGGGATGGAGTAGAGGAAGGCTTGGGGCTTGCCATGTCTAGGAGTTCGAGTGTGTGAGTCCGCCTGGGCACAGCAGCAGTGCAAAGAGACTCCTGCTCGCCATTTGGGTGATTCCTCCTTTGCAAGCCCAATCCATAGGGACTTGCATGGATCTGATAGTGTCTGCTGGTCTAGCCGTCTGCCCAACCCCTTGCCCCAGGCTGCTCCATCCTCTGCTGGAGCAGGTCCCAGGAACACAGCACATAGTCTCTTATCCTGGGACAGATGGGCAGATGATTTGCCTCTGGCTCCAGGATGTCTCAGAGCCAGGCAGAGAGCACAATCATGCTCTGTTCTCCATTAAAGCCCAGCTCCATCTCTGGCCCTGGGGACACAGCCAATGCCAAGAGCTGTCCCATGTCCCTTCCTGGTGTGTGACGCACCTCAGACGTCAGCCTGTCTACTGCAGCTTTTTGGCAGGGGCTGGATATATCTAGAACAGGCTGGAATTTCCCAAATGAGTCAATGCTTTTGGAGGACCATCATCAACCCTAAAGCAGCCCTCTCCTTCCAACACCATTAAAAGTTCCAGCCCAGAGCATCATCTTTCTTGTGACATTTCCTTGGTGAAATGGGCCATCTCTCCCCAAGACAGAGGGAAATTTGGAAGTCCCCCTGTCCTGGGAAGAGCTGCTCAGTAGGACAACCAGACCTAATAAGCAGCCAGGGGCCTCTGCGGTGTCTGGGGACACCATGTCCCACCAGACCTAAGACCTCCAGCCATCAAACAGGAGCAGAACTGAGTATCCATGGGGTCCCCTGCTCAGAGCCAGAACTCCCCGATTCGGCATGTCTCTGAACTAGACTGGGAAGGTTGGGCTTCTGCTTCCCCATGGGTATCCCAAGCCTGCAGTCAAGGAGAGCAGAGATGGTTGGATGCTTTCCATGTCCAAGGGGACAAATGCCCTCCTGCACACCTTGGCTGGTCATCAAGTTAGTGACACCAGCACCAATTCAGGGGTTTAAGAGCCAATATGGTTTTGTCACCGTGGCTGGCAATGTGAGACTCCTGCTCCCCTTCCTTAGGCTTCCTTCTCCCCCGGGTTCTCCAGGCTTTTGGATATCCCCTGCAAGAGCAGGTAACCTAACCCGTCTGCAGAGGCCCTTGGGAAATCTGCTGCTGCTTCTGATCATAACCGGGCGTTTTAAGAAGAACCAGATGACAAAGGCAGGGGCTCTGCTGGGCACTCTGACATGAAAGGAGCAGGGAGGGAGGAGGGAATTTGCTTTCTCTTTTTTTTTTTTCTGAGGATTGTGCTTTTCCTTGCAAGTTTATAAATCACTTCACGGATCATTCTCTTCCTTTCAAGTCAGCCTGAGATTGATCCCTGTGCCCATGTGTTGAGCATGCAGCCTTGGGAGCCCCACACATGCACAGCAGCAGGATGCTTTCAAAGGCATTGCTTCAAGCAGCCCCTGCCTCACCTCACCAGTGCCTTGGGGAGAAGGGGGCAAAGCTGGGGCTGAGCTGGGGTCTGATTTTGTCTCCTCCTGTTTGCCCTTCAGGTTGCCTGTGCTGGAGACAACGGCCCCATCCGGCGATGTGACTCACCCCCATCACCTTGTCTCAGTGGTCCCCAGCAGATACCCACGCTGGTTCACTCTGGGGCACCTGGAGTCGCAGCAGTGCGAGCTGGCCTCCACCATGCTCACGGCAGCCAAAGGTTGGTATGGGGCAGCTCTGGGATAGGGGTGATGGGACAATGCTGCACAAGAGCATCGAAGGGATTTTCCTGGAGAGAAGAGGGAACTCCTGCTTCTGATTCCTCAAGCACTGGTAGAGACTGGAGTTTTTACTCCCTTCCAGTGCCCAGTGGGGAATGAGGTTTTTATATGTGGGGTGTAGGGCTGTTGGATTGCATCTGTTTTTCCCACCATCCCCTTCTCCAGGTGTCCCGCACCACAGCATTTCCCAATGGTATCCTGTGTCCTCAAGGCCTCTGTCACCCATGCCCCTGTGAGCTGTTTTAGAGAGGTTTGGATTAGGGAGGCAAGTGGCTGCTGTGGGTGGCAGGAGATATTTTTAGCTATTAGTCACACAAGATGTCTCTGTGTACCCAGGTGCAGCACTAGGTTTTTCATGTTATTGTGTGTTATTTGGTTTTCTTTGTGTAAGGTTCATCTGCTCAATTTAGAGCTATGAGAGTAGAAACATGAACCTGGAACAAAGCAGAGGGACCTAATGTGGCATGTTGGCATCTCTGGTCTGCCCCATGCCAAAGGTTCCTCTCTCCACTCTGTGTCCCTGGGCTAACAGGAGTTTTTCCCAGGCCAGATACGGCATCATGATACTAATATGCCTTGATGGGTCCCTCTTCCAAGATCCTGCCCCATTTCTCAATGTCGACACCTATTCTTGTAGGACCCATGGCCTCCTGTGGCAGGAGACCCACAGCATCACTGGGTGTTGTGCCAGGACCCCTTCTTCAGGGTATCTCAGCCTGCCTCAGTTGTGAGAGCTGCTTGTCCGACTTCAGACATGCAGGACAAAGCCATAGTGTACCTGGATGGCCCTGGGCCAGCCTTTGATAGCCTTGCAGAGGGAAGGTACTTATTGTGCAAGACAGTATGTGTGTAGCAAACAGCTTTTCTTCTTCTTTTCACTCCTTCTAAATGAAGAATGACCTTTCTGCAGCCATTCAGCACTGGGCATCTCCCCAAGCCCCTCCTTTGTTGGGAAGAGTCTGTTTTACAGCTGTCAAACTTGAACCCAGGGTAGAACATCCAGGTGCTTGGAAATGTCTGCTAATGCTCCAGGATGTGTCTGGGATCACTCAGGCTTGTTTGTTCTCTCTCTCTGTGAGAGGATGTTCTTGAGCGAGGATGGATGCTGTAAGATGTGTCACCTCCTGGGGAGGACACCCCATTTTGCTGTTGGACTGCAGCGTCTGATCCAACATCCCTGTACATCCCTCCGCATGGGGGTCCAGAGGGGCTGAAGGGGTTGTTCACCACCCAGCGCAGGCAGATGGGGCTCGAGGGTAAGCTGGGGGGAGGCTGAGCCATCTGATTGTTCTTGCCTGCACCCAGGGGACATGCTGCGCCTACGCACGGTGCTGGAGGCCATCCAGAAGAACATTCACTCCTCCTCCTTGATCTTCAAGCTGGCTCAGGATGCGTTCAAGATCGCCACGCCAGCTGACAGCAACTCGGACACAACGCTGCTCAACGTGGCGCTGGAGCTGGGACTCCAGGTATGGGATGGCACTGGAAATGCTAGTGGCCCTTCTGTCCTGTGTGGTGCAGCACATTGGTCTTCCACCAATGGAAGGTGTAAATTCCTTCCTGTGGAATGAGTAAATTCCTCCCTGCATGGCCCTGAGCAGGGAAGCTCAGCCCTGGGAGGCCCCTGTGCCTGCTGCAGTTTGGGTGGAGGCAAAGCAGCACTGGGGAGCTGGGTAGCCAGCCGGGACAGAGGGGTCTTTGGGGAGCACCACTGTATTGGGTGGCCTCATTGGAGCCCTGTGGGGCAGCTGGTCACCCCGAGTTTGCCTCACAGGTGATGCGCATGACCCTGTCCACCCTCAACTGGCGGCGGCGGGAGATGGTGAGGTGGCTGGTGACGTGCGCTACTGAAGTGGGTGAGTGCCTCACCGTGCCAGGGGGATCTGGCCTGCATGTAGTGGGGAGGGAGGCTGGGCACAGAGATCCCACGGTCATTCATAGCCCTGGGCATCTGAGCTCTCTTGTGTCTCCCATTTATAGAATTACAGAATGGTTTGGGTTGGAAGGGACCTTGAAGACTATCTAGTTGCAACCCCCCTGCCATGGGCAGTGAGACCTCACACTAGACCAGGTTGCTCCAAGCCCCGACCATCCTGGCCTTGAACACTGCCAGGGGCAGCCATAAGTTATCTGGGCTGTGCCAGTGTCCCACCACCCTGTGTAACTGGATGCACCTCAGAGCACCAGCCAGCAGGGGTGGCAGCAGTGCCCAGGTTTGGGACTGGGACAGGTACCCTGTACCTAGGCCAGGCCAGCAGTGTCTGCTGTGCCTGCAGCATGGCAGTGCCTCTGCCTGTCTCCCTCTGCCCTGTCCTTGCTGGGTCAGAGGCAGAGGCTCAGCAGTACCGCAAGCTGGCTTTGCCCTGGCTCCGGGGTCGCAGAAGAGCCCCATTATCTGAGCCAGGCTCCAGGGCTGTGCTGTGACCCATGTTTCCTTGCAGGGGTGAGGGCCCTGGTGAGCATCCTGCAGAGCTGGTACTCATTGTTCACTCCCACGGAAGCCACCAGCATTGTGGCAGCACCCGTGATGTCCCACAACACCATCCTGCGCTTGAGCCTGGACTACCCTCAGCGGGAAGAGCTGGCCAGCTGTGCCCGCACCCTGGCCCTGCAGTGCGCCATGAAGGACCCCCAGAACTGCGCCCTGTCTGCCCTGACCCTCTGCGAGAAGGACCACATCGCCTTCGAGACTGCCTACCAGATCGTCATTGACGCCGCCTCCACCGGCATGACCTACACCCAGCTCTTCACCATTGCCCGCTACATGGAGCACCGGGGCTATCCACTCCGGGCATTCAAACTGGCCTCGTTGGCCATGACGCATCTCAACCTGGCCTACAACCAGGACACGCACCCAGCCATCAACGACGTGCTCTGGGCCTGCGCCTTGAGCCATTCTCTAGGCAAAAACGAGCTGGCAGCCATCATCCCACTGGTGGTGAAGAGCGTGCACTGTGCCACGGTGCTCTCGGACATCCTTCGCCGCTGCACCATGACGGCCCCAGGGCTGGCCGGCATTCCCGGCCGCAGGAACTCGGGGAAGCTGATGTCCACTGACAAAGCCCCGCTGCGGCAGCTGGTGGGCGC